TTTTTGCGGCGGCGGCGGGCGGAAGTGGAGGAGGGGGGGCGGCGGGGACAAGGGCCGATGCTGCGGGGAGCCCGTTCTGGCTGAAGGCTCCGGTCAGGGTGGCCGCTCTCTCCGCGGACCACGTTGTGCAGGTGGTTTTTTTTTTTCCGCCGTGGCAGAGTTTTTTTAGAATCAGGGTAGGCGTGTGTGTGTGTGTGCTTGCCATCGTTGCGATACGTTCCATGTGTATTCCACGGATCCCCCACGTGTTACAGCAATACTTCTGACCGCCGTTGACAGTGAACGTGTGGTCTAGACTGGTGTGCCCAACTTTGCCTGTTTTCATGCTTCGGGACGTGTTTAGCTGCAGAAGCGAGTCTTTTGTCACTCTTCCTTCTCAGGGGCACGCAGGGGGATCGTCGGTACATTATTACCGCACACGCCCGAGGACCGCGGACCACCCGTGGCGCGTGTGCTTCACGCCCAATATCGAAAACACTGGTTCTATACCCTGGGGACGTTTTTCCGCACGAAGAAAGTCTTGGCAACAAATGTACTAAAGTTGCTTTGCACAAATAGGATTCCTGTGCAACGCACACAAGTCCTACAGACCATGGTTCGACACGAAGGCGTAAGAGCGAGTGATAAGCTGCAGCGACGCCACTATCCTAGAAGCACACACTCAAGCACACGCGAAAAGTCACGGCAAGAAACAAAATGATGCGAATTCCAGGCATATTCTGCAGGTTGTTGTACGCAAGACTAGCACAATCCAACGTCACGACATTGAGATGCAACGATTCGACCGTGTTGGCAATGGCCATGTCCTCTTGCGTCGCCCCCGGGAGGCAAGCCTCCTAACTCCCAAAGGGGAGCCACGAACTCTGAAACACTTCACAATTGCCGTGCGCCTGCCAGCGTTGTAGGTGACGCATGAGTTGGATGCGCGTTCCACGGAACCTCCGGACTCATCCAGTCGGGTCCCTCCCTCCCGTCTTTTGTGTCTCTCGTCTCGTCCCCCGTGAAGGTGTCCTGCGGCGCGAAGCACACCCTTGTCATAACCTCCGAGGGGCATCTCTTCGCCTGGGGGGACAACCGCTACGGCCAGTGCGGCCTTCCATGGCATTCTTTGTCGTCTCCCGCTGACTCTCCTCGTGGCGACGGCGACGGTCAGTTCGGCCTCAAGACGTTCGGCCAGATGGCCAAGAAGATGTCGACAAAGAAGTTCCCCGGCGGCGCTGATAAGGCCGGCGACGGTTCTGACGGAGGCAAGGGAAACGGCGACAGCGGCGGCGGAATGACAGTGTTCAGACCTACCCTTGTGAGTTTTGCGGCAAAGGGCATGATGTGTAGGCCAACGGGTCGAAAGATGTGTTGGGTAGTCTTTTTGGAAGCTTTCTGCCGAGATTTTTTAGGCTTTCATCGCTGTCGACGCTAGCCGAAGACTTACGCTGATCGCCGATGTGTACGCCGACATCGTCGTGTTTTGCGTCTCGCAAAATGTCCACCGAGAGAGCCGACCACGTAATGGCAACGCCCTGTTTGCGTTTTGATCCACATTGTCGTCTGCGTTTCCTCTCCGGCGCTATTTTTGTTCTCGACTTCGTTCTCTGTGTGTGCAGGTGCTCCTCCGGCAAGAAGGCGATGACCTACCGCTCCGAGTCCTTCAGGTACGGCCAACATGCTGTTACCCCGCGAGGCCCCAACACCCCCTTTTGAACCAAGAAGCGCTCTTTGTTCGTATCTTGCCAAGGGTGTAGTGACATCTTTCTCAGCTTGGAAGCTATTGTACACACCCTCGGCCTCGCGCCTAGGAGTTCACAGGGCACTGCCGTGTCTGCGCCGTGGCCGGCGTAGTCCCCGGTCGCCCGCTCCGCCCTGCGTCTCTGCGCGTCCCGTGAGTTGCGTGTTGGGGGGGTAAATTGCCCAGACGCTGCGAGGAAAGTGTCACTTTGGTCTCCCGAAGGCCCCACGTTGCCCTGTGCTCACACCACCGCCGGAAGGCCTCGTTCGATTGCTCATCTTCCCCGTCTCGCGACACCCTCCCCTTGAGCACCCAGGTGGCTAGCGGCCGGCAGCACTCCCTGGCGATAGCGTGTTCCCGGAGCAACGACAAGGCTTGCGTACCCGACAACAGCGCCGCCGCCGCCGCCGCCGCCGCCGCCGCCGCCGCTGCCGCTTCTGCGCACTCGACAACTACTTCAGCGCGTGTTAACCACAGAGCGAACGTGCTCTACTCGTGGGGAGCGACGGGCTCCGGCAGGCTGGGCAGGTTGCCACGGCGCAACCCGTCTTCCTCCCCGTTTGCGTCGTCGCCCTCCCTGACGTCGCCGTCACCGCGGCAGCCACCACCACCACACCGCTCGAAAAGCGACTCGTTGGCGGGCGTACTGCCTTCGGCGAAGAGCTCGGAAGGTGGCGGCGGCAGCAGCGGGAGAAAAGACACCGCGGCCGGTGGGCGGACAAGAAGTGATAGCTTGGCCGGTTGGAGCGCCTCCGGCGGCGGCGGCGGCGGCGGCGACCTCCTGGGGGAACGAAGAGAACGAGAAGGGGGACGGGGTGGCCCAAGAAGTGGCGACGGGGAACTCCCGGCGCCGGAGCCAGGGCAACAAGGAAGCGCACCCCGAGCTACTCCTACCCCACCTCCACCCCGGCCCCCGGAAGCGTTCAACATGCCGGCACCGGTGGCCGCCGACTGGACGTACCGCGTCAACGATCACAGGCGACACGGCGCCCCTCTTGTCGCCGTTCCCACGCCCGCCGCAGCAGCCGCGGCTGCCGCTGAACGCCTCATCTATCCTTTTGGCGGCGGCGATGGAGATGGCGACAGAACGAGAGCTAGCGCCGGTAGGCCTATCGGTAGTGGTGGGGGCGGCGACGGCGCAGCGGGTGTCACTGAGGGGATGACAGTGTTGGAGCCCGGGGACGGGGTTGGGAGAGGGCCCGTGGCGATAGCGGCCGGGTGGCGCCACTCAGTTGCCGTTACGGAGGAAGGGGCGGTGTTTGCGTGGGGCTGCGGGTCGGAAGGAAGACTGGGGCTGGGGTCTCACGTGGATGCTAACGCGCCCCGGCAGGTGATGCCTTGACGATGGTTGACATTTTTTCGTTGGGTATTTCGGGTTTGGATCGGAACAGGTTGGTGTTGAGTTGAAGATGGCAATATCACACTGCGCTCAAGTAGAATGGGGCTTGTCTATGCCTACATCTAGAAGCGTGTTTGTGTGATGAAGCCCCCCGTGAACATGAAACTCGACCCGAGCCTTAAAACGATGTGGGTCTAGCGCGAACTGCGCCGGCTCCGGTTTTTCGTTGCGACGCGTCTCTGCCCCCGCTCGCTTTGAGACGTATGTTGTGGTTTCCAATCGTGAACGGGGCACCGTATGTTGCCCATCACCCCGGCTTGAATTGCACTCGGGAGAATTGAGTGTCTCACGTATGTCGTCTCAAGCGTCGGTGTGTTTCATCTCCCACACCCGTGGCTACTACACCGACTACTCGCTTGCTGGTACGGGCGAATAACAATAACGCCGCCGCGAAAATGGATGCTACAGGTACGCGCTCTCGCGTCGCGGGCGATTCGGGTGAGGCAAGCCGCGGCGGGGAGGGCGCACACGCTGTTCCTCTCGGAGTCCGGCAACGTGTACTCCTGCGGCTCCAACGAGTTCGGGCAGCAAGGGCGAGGCGGAGCTGGTTCCGCCGCTCAGCGCTCCAGCGCCTCCCAGAGCAACGCCGATGGCTCGAGCAGGGAGACGTCAAGATCGACTCATCCAGCTGTGGACGGGGGCGGGGGCGGGGGCGGAGGCAGGGTATCCACTAGCCTATGTATGTTGGCCCCGACGATAGTCACCGTTACCGTCGGCAGCGGCAGCGGCGGTGGCGTGTCTGGCCTCCGCGTCCAGAGGGTGGCGGCAGGGGACGACCACTGCACTGTGCTAACCTCCTCCGAGCCAAACACCGTCACCGCCACTGCTTCGGCGGCGGCGGCGGCGACGGCCGTCTACGCCTCCTCCAGTCGTGGAGGCGGGGGAGCGGGGGGCTCCCAAGGCAGCAGCAGCGGCAGGCGAGTCTTCACGTGGGGCCTGAACGCTGCCGGGCAGTGCGCGCACGGGCGGGCGGCGGAGGTCGTGGGGGCCCCGCAGGAAGCCGAGCTGTTGAGCGGTGCCAGGGCGGTTGGCTGCGGGGCGGGCCATACAATGGTCGTTCTCTAGTGGGGTTGACAACGAGGGGGGGGAGGGGGCGGGGGGTTGGAAGTACTCACGAAACGACCGGCTAGTCTTCCCGTCGGAGAATTCCGGAAATGTGCGGTTTGGAGCACTAGGACGCACTTGGCGAGTAGAGGTTCCCTGGTCTTGAGAGCCTCCACGGCTCTGTATTAGCACATCCTCCGCCATTTGTGGCCGTCAGCACGTGGTCTTTAAGTGGCTGCTCCTTCTGAAACGTTTGGGCTCGATTGTTTTGGTATCATCACCACCTTGTGTGTTTGGGATTCCGTGTCTCCGACCCTAGAGTTGTTGGGCGCCCTCTGATGATGATTGTGCGCGCGAGAACTCCCTCGACGGCATGCAGAGATGGATGTAATGCGAAGGCGGCTGGTGTGATGCCTTTCTTTGTGTTCCACGATGCTCAGGCGTAATGTGTGCGGGAGGGGCGGTACGCAAGTGCGCAAGGTTTTTGTGGTGGGCGTGTATGCATTAGAGCGTTCACACATGACCAGTCTTCTGTGAGAGACTCGCGCCGTGCGAAAAACGCGACTCCGTGGGAAATCCGTGGCTCTGTTGCTGTTTCAGCCGCAGATTTTGCGGTTATTATCGTGGGATATATATGATGGAATGAGTAGGTCAAGCGACCCCATATCAAACCCACTTGTACGGTCATGACGTAGTTTTGTTTTTTCTCACGTTTTCCCAGAAACGTTTGGCCAGCCTGGTATTGATTGAGTCACTACCTCAGTCACTACCTCTTTGTTTTCGTGCCATTACCGGGTGGCAATGAGTACACCATGACTGGGACATGATCGGGCCACTGGATAATGACCCGGTCAGGATCTAGCCTGATGCGAGTCGTGATCGTGTCACGGCCGGATCACGATGAGTGCTCACCATGACCGAGAGATGATCATGTCATCGCCATGACTGGGACATGATCGGGCCACTGGATAATGACCCGGTCAGGATCTAGCCTGATGCGAGTCGTGATCGTGTCACGGCCGGATCACGATGAGTGCTCACCATGACCGAGAGATGATCATGTCATCGCCACATCGTGCCCCAACCATGACGATGGTCTGTCTAGATTTTTGCTTCTACGCCAACCACCAATGACATCTGTGCCGGCACGCCCACCAAAAAGTTATCCCATCCACGCCAAACTAGCGCCAATGCCGGCACACTAACCTAGCACTCATCCACCCAGCGCCGACCTCTAGCACGTGCCGTGTTGGTTTGGGGCTACGATCAGAGTTATGGTTAGAGACTGTTTCGTGCCCCTACCGAAGCAGAAAATCTATTGCTTTGGAGTAGGGCATTGCATTGGTCATGACATGATCGGGTAATGACTGACTCCAGTCATGGTACAAACCCCAATAACGTCGGACCCCGGAAACTGCTGTGTCAATAACTTTTGCTCTCTGAGAAGAAAATCATCAGATTTGAGGAAGTCCATTTCCCTCGGGAAGAACAAACGCCTCAACAGTGATCAATTATGATTTCACGCCTAAGCCTTCCCCCAAGACACAAGACCCCTTGAATATGTTTGTTGTTGTTTTCGTCCTTTTATTATTGCGACGTGCCCCCCATTTTATGTGGTGAGAAGTGTACTACACTTTTCAGTGTTTGTAGAGTACTACACTGTTCAGTATATATATGTTTTGTAACATTACAACCATCAAGGAAGGGTCACACAGGAGGGGGTAAACACCGGCGCTCTTTCTTCTTTTATGTTCCTTTTCGTGCCCCATATCTTCCTCCTGCGGTGCGTGCTGCATTTTATATTTGTCGCGAGAAAGGTCCAGCCGTCCCTTTTCCTCGTCAACGGTGCTGTCGTCCAAGTTTGGTACTCACAACAGCTTTTCCAGCTTTGTTTGTTCGCTTTCATCCCCAAATTGAAATTTCTTAACCCCATGGGGGTTCGAACTCACAACTTTGCGACAACAGGTTTCGAGGTTACCACTAGACCACCGGGGCGACCGGCTGAACACATGTATCTAAAAATATATGCTGGGAAACAAACCCAATTCCGACAGCCCCCTGCTGAAACGTTCCTCCCCAACAGAAGTCAAATGAACGTGGTAGTATTGCTGTATGGATGGATGTCGAAACAAATCAATATTCAAATTGTATGTACATCATGGAGCAAATTGCATGTAAATCATGGAGCAATACCCCAACAATTCTCGTGTAGTACACCCCCAAGAGTATTCTACAAAAACGGACAGCATCAAGTGAGACCCCCTGCTGAACGCATCACGTGCCACATTGATTGCATGCCAAACAAGGCTCAGCTACCCTGCACCTTCATGTAAGAACTGGGACGGCACGTAAGTGCAGCACAAAGAAAAATCAGCTAAAGTTCATAACAAAGTCACCAAATGTCGCCAATGTCACGACGTATAGTCTATCTCCTTGGGCAGAGGTTTGGTCAGGAAATCAGCGTGCTGTTGGTCCGTCGGATCGTACTTTTAACTCTCGCGCTACACAATCACGGAAAATATGGTGGCGGGCGTCGATGTGGTTCGAGTCGAGGGTAGTAGACGGCCTATTCCCCGATAGCTCGTACATCGTCCTCCACCAAATGGCACCCCACATCACCGTCCGGAAGGAAAATAAAATTCCAGAGATGTCGAAAACAATAGCTTCCTTCTTCCCATCAGTCATGTCATCGTATTCCTCTTCCCCCGATGACAGGATGGCGCTCTTTGCCGGCCTACACCTACACATCGGACAGGTATCAGCGGGGGGAGGATTCGAAACCAAGACACTTGCACTCAACTGCCCAACGACCTCCATTATTTTTGGGCGTCGGCCCACATGTTGCTGTGTGGCTCCGCGTACGTACGCCCCCGCAGATATATATCTCGGGCGCCTCGAGGTTGCCCACCGGCCCCGACGGCCGTTCTTGGTTAACATCGCCCGTCACGGGAAGCTTGGCAAGCACGTACGTTTCCCAAAGACTCATGGTTCACAGCCACATACACACCCGCCCCCCGAGTGCCGGCAAACTGGTACCGACAATGTATGAAGTATCACATTCAGCCCCGCTACTCGGTACGAGATTCGACCTTACAGTAATTCTTCCTCTGGTCCACCCATGCAACCAAAATATATCACAACATAAACGCGACCCTTTGCAGAGAGGAAAACATAATCAGCAAATATTAACTTCTCGTCAGAGGTAGCACAAACATCCGGGAAACGGAACTAAGTTCTCAAAACCAACTGACATTCCTTCGCGCACTGGGCAAGTGAAAACGGTCAGGATCGGCTTGAAACCTTACTTACCGGTTCTTCTGACGCCGAATAAGAACACCGCAGGGCAAAAAGGGTCTTTCGTTTTTTTGTCACCCTCCGTTAGGGTCGCATGATTAGACTAGAGAGAGAAAACGGGCCAGATGGCAAGAGGGTATCGACTACGGTGGTGATGTCTGTGGTCTTCGAAACGGCGGGTGTCGCATGCACGAAATTTCGAAGGCAGTGCGTGCCGCCACAAAGTGTTCCCGTCTAGGCCCAGGAGTTGGTTTGCACCGGTTCGTCGCCTTCACTCATGGCCCGCCTCTCCTTTGTCCAGAAGGCTGAAATGTTCGCCCAGAGCGTCGGAAACGCGGTAGTCCTCGACGGTGCCACGGAATGCTTGGGACCCTTTCATCACAGCACGACCATTTTCGTCGTACACCGGGCGGGCTGTCTCTCCCAGAAGGCCGGATAAAGCCGGGTTCTCGATATCGAGTCCGTCGAAACCCACGTCCATTTGCCAGAATTCGAGGTCAGGGAGATCGGGCCCATCCCCATGGGGCTGACTTCCCCCCTGGTAGTTGACACCGGCGTTGAGGCGCACAGTAGCAGTAGGCGTCTCGATCATGAATACAGCGTGGATGGATTGAAGATTGGAGAGCTCGTGTTCAGCGATGTACTTGGCGCACCATTCGGGTGAAACCATGTCGTGGAAACTCAGGATCCATTCCTCGAAGCTCTGGTCCATCCGCAGCTTGCGCTCGCTCTGTAGCATTTCTTCACGCTTGCGGGCCCATATTTTGTTCCCACCGAACTTACGGCATTCCGCCGGGAGGTTCGACGCTGATACTGTCATTCCACCGCTCGCCACAGGCTCCTGCCTCAAGAAGCGGAGAAGATCTCCGGCTTCCCCCCCATCCACGGTGGCACGCAGTCCGCCATTGGCAAGGCAGGGTGAGATTCCTTCAAGGCAGCCCTGCGTGACAGTGGAGTAAGGGTCTTTGACCTCGATGGTTAGAGAGACGCTCTCCGACAAAATGCTGATGCCCGTGACAAGCTGGTGGTTGGGGAAGTCTTCCGGCTGGGGGGCGGTGGTTCGAACGTTCACATGGAAAGCGGCATTGTCGTCCTTGATTAGCGAGTACCATCCGCCATTCACCCCGGACCAAGCGATCCGCTGGCCGCTAAGGCCCTTCATGTGCGGGTCGCCGTACACGTCATCGGTACCGTCATCTGTGGATCGTCGCGCGCGCATACAAAAGGGGAACAACTGCTCGGGGTTGGTAGTTTTCCAGAAACCCTCTAGGAACCCTGTGTGCAGGGATGGTGCCGGTACACGACACCGTAAACTCATTTGTTTCCTTCTACGGAGGGGATCGATATGTGGTAAACTCCAATCCCGCGGGGAAAATAGCAGGAGAGAGGGGGGGGGGAGGGGGATTAAGAAAATACCAAATGTGGGGATCTTCCCACGGATGGGGGGGGGGGAGGGTCTATTCTTCGACATAATGTTAATGAGCATTCAAGCGAATCTTCAATGTGCCAACACACACTCCAAAAGGCAAGCGACAGACGAATGTATGCAAGTTGCATTCCGCCACACAATGGTCCACGTGCCCGTGTCTTCCAAGCGCCTAACGAAAAGAAAGGCGAATTAGCCAGAAGCCCTATGCGCAGCAATGTCGAGAACGCTGGGTAACGAGTTGGCGTGCAAATGCGTCGTGGCATTCCGTCAGGAGTGATGCCTTCAATGCCTGACTTGTATATCCATCACGCACGGCCTTACCTGCCGCGCAGCAAGTATCATCATCACAGGTCAAAGCGCCGCCGCAGTCGACCCCATCACCAAGGTAAACAGGAGTCGGGTCCTCGCATGTGTTTGTATGTGCCCATCCTCCACAAAAATCTGCGGGACATGACAAACCGCCGGGAACGATGACGCAACAGACACACGTGCGACCGAGCTTTGGAGTCCGATTTGCCTAAACCTCTTTGCACGTCTAGTACATGCCGTTGGTTTACAACAAAGGCTGCCAAACCGCAAGTCTCGTGGAGTTTCCCGTGTACAACCTACTGCACCTGTGCCTCGTTTTCGTTGATCCCCATCCCCACCCATGGGGAACGCAGGTCAGGCGTCTTTGGTGGTACTGTAGCGGGGGTAATATTGGTTTACACCAAAGACGTTATGTGAGACTAGGGGGCTGGACGGCCACCGAAATCACAATACAGACTTGGCGTATAGGAAGATCGGTTTGAAAGTAAACCTACTTCAACAGTACCTGGGGGCGGTATCATCGTATGTGCGTGGGAAGCCCGTCATCTATGCTGTAACTCTTAAATTGCATCTACCGATTTTTCGCCGTCGATTTCAACTTTTGGAGAGTCGCCTTTGTAAGGGAGGCATGCCGAAACATACACCACCAAGTGAATAAGAGGAGGAAAGAC